TTGATTATTATATTTTTAGTTTGTTATGGATTTTTTTCTAATCCTCTTTTTATCAGGATTCTGTATTTTACTATTTCAATTAAGGGTGATAAAGGTTAGTTTTGCTTATTTAATAGATTTCTTGACAAATTGAGAGCTGATACTGAATCGTCATCTACTATTTACACTATCTACAAAAATAAATTTACAATTAATACTTTGTTTTAGAATTAATCATATAATATGTTATTATTATGATTTTTATTTTTACATATATCCTCATAACTTTCCTCTTATTAAGCTGGTTCATTATACTCAATATCAAATTATAAAGGGGTTCTAAGATCCATTCTAATGTCTCTGTATTTTGGATCATCTTAATAATAATCAACCAATTTTATCTTATTTTTGGATAAATAATTGATGTGTTCATATAAAATTTTTTCTAGATATATTAATCTTGGGAAATAATTGTTTTAAATCTCTTAACGAGGGATCATAGATAGAGTTAAAATCTAAAAGACCTTTTCATAAATAATTAAATTGTCTGTGTATTCAATTATCTTAAGCAGTTGCTCTTAAGAAGAAAACATATCTCTAAAATTTTATTATTTTCTATATTTACTCAAATAGATAAGATCTTTTTATGAATTCGTTGATAAAATCCAAGATCTATGAGCAGTCATATATGGAATTATTTTATATCTCTATCACTATTTACTTTAATTTTTCATCAATTTTATTCAACATATATCTGAACAGATACCTACTTCTAATAATTTGCTGGCGTCTATTACCATTTACAAGATTTCTTAACTCTTCAATGTTAAAAGAATCTATCACTTTTATGATCTAAAATTTATTTCTAAATTACTTATTTCATTTCTTCTGTTATTTCATTTGGTATTTCTTCAGTCTCTTCTTCAAACAACATGTTTTGATTAAACATTATTTTTATTATATGAGAATAAAAATTAGCTAATGAAATTTATAGATACTTTTCCTTAAATAATGTACAAAATTTATAGATATTTTTCCTTAAATAATGTACAAAATTTTAGCGTATTTATTTTAATAATATCTTGCTTAAATTGAAAAATTATAAAGAGAAATAAGTTCGGATGATAAAGAGAAATAAGTTGGAATGATAATGATAATAAAATTTGGTTGATTAGACGACTATTAGAAATGAATAAAAAATAATTGAAAAATATTTATTAAACAAAAAATAAGACTAAAACCTTAAAATATCCATCTATTAATTTATCTCTTCTATGATGGATTCTAATTTATTTACTTAAATGAAAAAATAGAGAAAATGATTATCTATAAAAGTTAAGAGATTTTCAAAGCTATAGAAATTAAGAAAAAATAATATTATATGGAATGCATAGAAGCTGAATTTTATTTAGACTCTTGAAAAAAAAGTTTACTTTGAGCTATATTGTATAAAGATTAATTTTTAGTATAATATAAATTTCGATTATAACATAAACAGGTTAAAAAAAATTAACTAAC